CCTGTTTCTTCATCTGTGAAACAAGGATCATAGCATTCTTGAACGCTTACACCTCATTTTTATGCATGTCTCACATCCTGCTCCGGGGTTTGTATTCATACCTTAGTGAGTTAGGACTTCTTAAAATTCTGTTCACCACACTTGCTTTTCTCTATCACTAGATTGAAAATTGATTTATTTTTGCGTTCCCCCCACTGCCTTGCAGATCCTGAAAAAAACAACAATCACCCCTTAAATGAGCATTCTCCTTAACTCTGTACACTTGAGCAAATAAATCATGAGAATTCACGGCCTTTGGTTTGTCCAACCAAAGAGTGAAAGACATCATGATGGCTGTCCTTAAATCACAAGGGTATTGGCTGAATGTAAAGACGCAGCTCAAAATACTCTGGGCCCATGGAGAAGGATGCTGGGCGTCACTGAGGCATTATTATAAGGGCCACGGTTAAGGTGTGAAACCCCACAGAACATCTCAGAAAAGAGAGGGAGCAGGAAGTAAAGGGAACATTCACGAGCACACCCAGCTTCCAAGCACTGTCTTTGGTGCCTCCAATGCTATTCTCTCTCACCTGCAGGACAAGCCTGAAAGATGTGCATAATTGTTCCCCTGTTTTCAGAGGGGAAACCCACAGCTCAGCAAGGCTAAGTGGCTCATCCAATTGCCTGATACCAAAGCTACTCTGTTTCTCCAACACCCTACTGACTCAGCAGATAACTCCACTTATATTTATCTCCACCAGAGAGCTGTCCTTATCGAGAAACTTCCCTGGGTTCTTCTTGGAAAAGCCTAGAAAAATCCACCTGAGCCACCTGCAGACGGAATTATGTGTCTGCATTAATTGTAAGGAGTATCCTCTGAGGGTTCTCTCCACGAAGTAACAAAGAGATCCAAAGGGCACCATCTGGGAGAGGCTGGAGAAGAGCAGACCAAGTAGGCCAGCCTGGTCCTTCTAGTTCCCAAACTTGACGGGACTGTTCCATCTTGCATAGACTTCAGCTGGCTCAATACATAACCAGTGCCAACTGCAGAAACATTTCTGGACTAGGTAGCCAAAGCCAAATTCATAATAACCTGGAGATGATTCCAAGCTGATAGCCTTTCCTCCCTTGCCTTTATTCCCAGGAAGAGATCGTGTTCTTTATAACCTGGGTTCTTTCAGGGTGTGTCTATGAAGCACTTTCCATAACCTACGGGTATTTTCAAAGTAGTGGTCAAGGCGCATAAACTTGAAGTCACTTAGGTGGAGATTTCAGAGACTTTGGGAGTGTGGGGACAGTTGGAGGAACTGAACACGGGTTGTTAAATGCTGCTTCGGGCTGATATATGAAAAGGAACCGCTTTCCTTATAGAGTGGGAATGCTGTTTTGTATTCTCCAGATATATCAAGGGAAGAGGCTCCATGACTTTTGGTGAATATCTCCTTATTTCTCTGTGTTAAAGGTGATTGATTATAGGGAAACTTGACAGAATAACACAAGTCCGTTCAAAACTGATGAGTACAGATGTTGCCTTTGAAAACTGCAAATCGAAAGAACCTTGGGGCAAGACAGTGCTGTTTTCATCTCTCTCCCTCCCTCCCTCTCTCTGTTTTTTTTTTTTTTTCCTTTTATTTAAGATGTAAGTTGTCCAACAAGATCTCTTTATTTGACTTTGAAATCAAATATACCTGACTCCAGTTCCGAGCTGGGTAAATTGCTGATGACATTGGATTATCCTTCACTGATAAAATAGGCTTGATAATTTTTTGATCTTTAAAGAACAGTCAACAGAAGGATGCCAAACCTTATGAATAGTATCTAATCTCAATCCTGCCCCAAAGTCTAAGTCTGTATATATGAATACGCATTAAAAAGTAACAAAGAGAGATGTTAACATGGTTATTTTCAGACTGTTGGAAATACAGGTGATTTTTTGACTTTCTTCTTTATACTATTCTATGTTTTCCAAATCCTCTATAAGCAGCACAGAATTACCTTTATAAGCAGAAAAAAGTTAGTTGAAACAAGCCAAGCGATCACAAATTCCAATGTGTAACAAGAAGCCCAAGATGTACCATAATCAGAAAGATTTTAGATTTTGAGTAGGAAGATTTTAAGTATGACAAGGAACACGGTAGGTCCTCAATAACTTCTTAATCGGATGTCCAGATGTTATTTTGTGTCCAACTCTTATTTCATGAAATGAGCTTGTTAGAGGAAGCCATATTTATAGAAAGAACGGTGCCATCAGCAAAGTCGGGAATACTTCTAAATGTGTTGCCCAACGTCTGAGAAGCCAGGGCGATGGTTTGGAATATTGAAGAAAAACATTGACTGAAATAGAAAGCACACATTCTCCCATGGGCTGGCTGGGAGCAGGGCAAAGGACCCTTGGATCCCGGGCCTAAGTCCCCCCTCATGGCTCTGCCATTAACCAGTGACATGACACCCAGCAATTCATGTAACTTCTGGAACATCCCTCCCCTTGTTTGTAAATGAGTTTGTGCCCAGCTCTATGATTCCGTTTGGCCTAGCTGGAAAAAAATGACATTACTGGGTCAGGTACAAGATTGAAGACCCCGGATTCAAGGTCCAACCAGGCCACTCCTTCGCTGGAATTACCATTTTTACCTCCCTGTACACACCGAGTTTCCTCATCCCTTGGTTTCAGGTGTCCTCCCTCAGGAAGATGTTGCAAGGACTGACTAATGCCCACGAGTGTCCCAATAATGATGATGCACCATGCAGGCGCTGGGAGTTCCAAACTGCTAATTCCGAATCCACAATAGGATTGCAGTGTGACATGTTGTGACCTTTACAAGCCACCATTCTGTGCTGCATCTGAGCCTTCTCATCCCAGCGTCTGTTGTTCCACCTTACCATTCTTTGCAAATTCCGAAAGCATTCCCAGCAATTAGGCTGATAGTCTGAGTAGTTTTATCTAGTAAGGGGGAGCTCATTTCTCAAGGAATTCTTCAATACCCCCCACCAAAGATAATTCTGAGATTTTTATCTTTCCCAGAAACCACTGAAAACATTGTCCACAGGGAAGGATACACTCACGTTTCCTCTTCTTACTCCAGAGAAAATGAATTCTCAGAGTTTTTGTGTTTTAACATTCCCAGGTTAATTTCTGGGGTTTCCCTCTCTTTTTTTTTTTTTTTCCAAGCAGCAGGGATCATGAACCCACATCGCGGTAGTGAGACACTACATTTTAAATCCCTCTTATAGCCAGGGCAGTTTCGAAGGGGGGTAAGGTGAGGTGGGCGCGTGGGACCCTGGAGAGTTTCCTCGGCAACCCGGGCAAGCTCACGCCCACAAGGACAGGAAGGCTTGGTGCTCTGCCCAGGTGAGTGCCCAAAACATAGGTGGACCTGTTGCGCTTCTTCCCACAGATCAGTCCTCTCGCCCGATGATTCCCGAGCCCCCGTGCCGGGTCACCGCAGGGTTGGGGTGGAGAGCGAGGCGGCGGCCGCGGGGGGCGGGCGTCCCCGTCCGGGGTACTTCGCCTCGCCCGCTCCTCTCGGTCGTCCACGTCCGGTGTGCCCCGCTACATTGTGGGCTGGAGACACCCCGCCCCCCGCCCGATGCTCCCCAGAATCCCGCCGGCACCCACCCCGCGGGTGGACCCAGTGCCCGCGCGGCACCCGGACGCGCGCGGGGCCAGCCACGGCGGGAGGCGGGAGGCCCGGTATGCAAATGACCGAGGGGCGGGCGAGGGCCGCCTCCCCGCTCGGGATAAAAGCCCGGGGCGGGGCGCGGCGCAG